CTGAACTGTACTAGTCCTGTAAACCTGATTAACTAGCCAGATCTAGTGGAAATCACGCGCCACCGATCAGTTACGGTCCTATACCTGAAAAACCTAAGTTCTCTCTCCTGCACTTTCCCCACATGAAAACGGTTCCTATACAAATGGAAATCTACGGACACCCACGGGGCTTTAGGGCCGCGCTGGGCCCGCGGTCCTACCTGGTTGAAGTGCAGCTGGCTCAACTCCAGGACGCCCTTGACTGGGGCAGCTCCCAGCTGTTCCAGCAACAGCTCGAGCTTCGCCGCCGACAAACTCCGATTGGCGCCGAACAAGCTCAGCACATCCTCGCTGAAGGCGAGCCCGGGCCCTTCCGCTGCCCCTCCGAAGCTGGTGGCCGCCAGCAGCAGAAGCCCGGCCACTGCCCTGCCTGGAGCCATCCTGGCCCAAGCTGCCCTTCGAGACGCGCGGGTGCACTGGTGTCGCCAAGAGTAGCCAAGAGTGAGCCGATCAGGCGTCTCCGCCCGTCCGGGTTAGCGTGGCGCGCAGCGCTCCTGCTCCGCCGCCGCCGCCGCCTTTGAGAGAGTAGCAGCCCACGACCTTCGGGACATTGAAGTGGCAGCTCTGCCCGGGGGGGAAGCGATAGACCGAGTGGGGGCCCCCGGGCCTCCTGGAGAGCCTGAGATAAAAGGGACAAAGGAGGACAGAGATAAAGGCCACCGAGCCACCGGCCGGCCGTCCCCAGGAGCTCTGGGTGGCCAGAGCCTCGAACGGCCCGGCTGGGCTTGAGGCCAACTGCCCGGGAGCCGGGTTTGCAGAGGCCCCAGGATTTGCGCACAGTTTGGTGACACATGCTCCTCCCGGATATAAAGCCCCAAACCGCGCCACTCCTAGGAAGAAGTCAAACCACACTGACTGTACAACCCCATCTCCTCTTCCTGTCTTTATGCTTTATTCCCTCCGCGGCTAACTTAGAAAGGTTGAACCGTGTAGTCAGTCCCCAGGGAGCTGCAGAAAACTGACCCTTCGGAGTCCCGGGGTTTGAGCGTCTACACAGAATCCTCCCTCCTGGAACCTCTGGACTTGGCAAGTTAAAAGGAAGGACTCGCTAGCCTCTCACCTCTCCTATCTGTCTCTTTCTCTGCGTCTTTCTCTTTGTGTGACTAGATCGGTGTCTGAGTCTCTCCTCTCTCTGTCTGTCTCTTTCTCTCTTCCCTTTTTCCTTTATCTCCTGTCCGCTGGGAAACTCTGGGATTGGGCCCTACGCCCTTCACAGATAAGTGGAGAGTCTAGTCCCCGCCTCTGTAGCACGTGGTGACACACTCCCCCAGGCTGAACTCCCGGGCGTGTCCACGCCGCGGCGCACAGCTGCTCTTTCTCCAAGCGCTTCTTTCCAGCTCAGCGGTGCCCTCTCCCTACCCTCGCCTCTGAGGATTACCTGGATGCCATCTACAAACGGGATCCCTAGCCCTCTTTCTGTTCTCAGTGGTCCACCTCTTTGTTACCTTGATGAAAACAACTTCCTGGAATGGAGTCTAGAGCCCCTTACATTGTCTAAGAGATTAACAGGAATTGCTTTTTTGTCTCACTTCTTAAAATCAGAGGACAAAGAGGAAACCCAAACTGTAGAACCCAGGCGGGCTAGCTGAGCCAGCACTGCCCAAGCCAGCCCTTCCTGACGCCGCGAGGGATATCCGCCGATCAGAAGGAATGTTTATTTGTTCAGATGAGGTTCAAGAAAAGCTGAGGTTGGGTGTGAGGTCAACACGTTTGTGTAAAGTGTATGTGGTGTTTGAGGACAAAGGTTGTGTCTGGTGGATACAACGGTCCGGAAATAAAGTGAAACCATGCTTCCCTCTTAGATGACAAAAAAGGAATTCGACGTGCTCTTCTTGCCTTTCATCAGGGCTGTGCATAGTATTTCTAAAACAGTACATTTTAAATAAAGTCGGTAAATCCAGACAAGGACAAACAAAAAGGAAGGAATTCATTATAACAACAACCATGGAAGGGAGAGACCAGGGAGAGAATGAGTATCCCAGGAAGATGGGGATCTTGGCAGACACAACTAACGGACTGTCATATGGGAGGGTTTGAGTTATTTTGACCAACTCCAGAGGGCAAAAAGAGGCAGTAAGAAGGCAGGGTTACCAAGTGGAATGTTTCTGCAGAAGCATGTCACAGCCTTAATGCAGAGATGGTGATTCGTGCATGACTGAAAGTGATTCAAATCAGCAGATCCTGAGTGACCACTTATAAGAATGAGCACAAAGATTCCTGCCTTGAAAGAAGATGAACTAAATGATCTTGAGGCTATGTTCCTTTAGTTGTAAAAGCTGTACATTTGTTCACGTTAATTTACAGAATTGTACTGAAGCTCTCAAAGGGCAAATATTTCACTTACAGGCCAGAATGAGTTGACCTCACAGTTGAGCTCTTAAATCTTTAAGACTTTAAGTGGATTTTAAAACAGAATTAGTTACCTGTTTTTCCTTTTGACCTCCATGACCTAAGATGACTTTTGTAAATCAATGTTTTAAACAGCTCATCCATACCTAGCAAGTGGTTCATTTCCTGCTTCTCCACATCTAACTTTGTTGATAACAAAGTTACCTGTTAGTGATGGATTTTTCAATAGATGTACTGGGCTTTCAATAATGCAAATTTCACAATGTGGATTTCTAAAAATTAGAATTTATCTATCAGTCATTCATATCTACATGTATGCATTTTGCTAACCCACCAAACCTACAAGACAATAAACAGCAAAATAAATAACAATCAAAATGACTGGCAATTTTACCAAGTACAGTTAACATAATGTAAACATGCAATTAAGAGAAAGCATTTGGAAAAAGAGAGAGAAAGCATTTAGAAAATTACAAGCTACTAACTAAGGCTAATTTCTATATCTTTCACCCTATTAAATTATAACACAAACTACTGCCCAGTTAATGTTTTGAGGCCCCAAAATGGCATTTTATCATTCATATCATTACCAAACAAAAAGACTTCTAATTTAAAATACAAAGTATGATCCATAAAACATATTTTTCTTGTAAATTCGCCTCAAAGGCCAAATAGTTCTGAATGATAATAATGAGAGTAGCAAGCCAAGAACACTGGCAGGGTTTTGAAAGATGTCTTTTTTATTTTTGACTTGGCTACCTGGGAAACCTAGGAAAGCCATTTAACCCAACCAGGATTTCAATTCCCTCATCTATAAAACAAGGTAATTGGGTTAGGAATGTCAAGAATCCTTTCCAGCCGTTTTTATTTCTAAATGTCTAATTTAGAAATCACCTAACAGAACAAAATATGAAACACTTAGAAGAGAAATAAAAATTTAATTCTCCAGTTGAAAGGGTAGTTAACTTCACATCATACTTTCTTATAAGAGCTTCAAATGTTTCTCAGTCCAAATCTTTTGTTACTATGGTAAATATAGAGCAAATTCTTTTAAGCTTTTTCACATTTGCATTTCCTTGTGGAAGGACTAATAAGAAAATCTAAAAGAAAGCCCATACTTTCTCTGCTTTCCCTTCTCTTTCTTTGCCTTGTAGTTCTAGAGCCATTAGGTAGTACATAACACAATAGTATCTGCATGGAGGGAACACACAGTGGCCAAAATAGGGGTGTTGGAGTTTGAATAAGAGGAGAAGGTATCAATAATAAGGAAACTTACAGTGGGTAGCTAGAGCCCAGACAGTATCATAAAGATATCCAGATTGGGAAAGGGACATGGCAAATCAGAGATGCATCCCTAATGGGGTAAGGACATGTGCATGCATCCCAGCACAGTCTACTGCAGCTCAAGTGTGATGAGCTTTTCAGCATGGTTCATCCGGACCCATCTGGAAGAGGAGGCTGTGCAACAGAGCAGTGGCCTGGCATGGTCTACCAGAACCTAAATAGAATGGAAGGCATCCATAGCTCAGTAGTACAGAGAGAAAGGCAACTATCATAGAAACTCAGAGCCTGAGTAGGTAATGAAGGTATCTATGCTTGATGGTGGCCATGCACAGAGTGTCAGTGTTGGAACAGGGAGAACAGGATGACTCTGAAGAGCAATGGCATGAGATATCAGTCCGTGCAGTTAGGAAGGGCAGCATGGCTGGGGCATCACAGTAATAGCAGTAATAGTATCTAGAACCTAGGGAGGATAAGGAAGGAATCAGGTGGAAGAAGAAAATGGCAGGAGAAAGAGATAAATTATACACAAGGGAATCGGTTAAGTAAGTAAGCATATTATAGGTTATAGAAGCAGAATTTCTCACTATCAGAGAAGAGAATTATAAATATGGAGAGAAAGTATGAATCTTATAATCAGGTTGAAATTGGCGATATCAGTGTCAATTAATGGTTTCTAGTATAGAAACAGAAACATACATAATAATAATTCCTAGCCTTGTCTACGGACAAGACCTGGAAACAACACAGTAATAGCAATGAACGTAACTAGGGCACTGAGCTTGGCTTCTAAATACTGTTCTCCACTAAACAGAATCAAGTCTCCTTAGAAAAAAGGCTGATTCCAGGAACAGGCAGGCAAAGAACGAATGATCCTGGAATATCTTGTTGTACTTGAAAGAAAGGAAATGGACCTGATCCAAAAGAATGTAGGAAATGAGAAAAGTGAGAAGTTCTTGCAACAAATGACACTGAAAGTAAAACTAAAATTTTGCTAAAACATGAATTTCAGTGAAATTAATTACATCATTCATAGAATATTTTTATCATTTGCACCATGATCCATGCTTCCTGGAAATATAAGAGTGAAAAGACACACCTTATTTTATTTTGAAGAAGCTTGGGTTACAGATTAGAGAGAAATGAGATGGTTGTTCTAATGGAGATTTTAAAGGTTATAGTGGAGCTTAACATGCGAGGCCCTGGGTTCAATCCCCAGCATGGAAAATAAATAAGGTTGCAGCACAGAGAGATAGGGGCAACTATGTCTGCAGATGATAGTGAGCAAATAATTCACAGAGCAGGTAACCCTTGAGCTTAAAGGGTAGGTAAAAGTTTGACAGAAAGACAAGAAGTAGATGCATATTCCAGGATAAAGAAACGGAAAATAAAAAGCCCTGAGCGAGCTAAGAACCTAAAAAAGAAAGAATTGCAAGAAATTTCTTGATTCTACAGAAACTGGAGCATTAAGGTAAGATCTGACAGAATCAGGAAAGATATCTAGGGATGCACCAAAAGATGCCTGATGATCTTCTTGAGCACAAAAAAATAAAAATCCCTTCAGTGAGTTTTAAACTTCCCTTTCCCTGTATTATCTGTACCAAATAATATGCATTCTTTAATTATAAATATACCACATCTAAAATTCTCAAACAAGAGCAAGATAATGAGTTTAGCTAGATCATATGTATCTATTTCACCATCAATGCCAGAAACAATGTAAGTAAGAATTGGATTTCTGCAATGCCTCTCTGAATTTCTTAATCTATAAAATGGTGATTAAAATAATATCTGCTCAGTTCACATCTCTGAATAACTATGAAAACCAGGTGTGATAAGATATGCAAAAAAAAAAAAAAACCCTTACCAACTGTACTACAGATGCAGGCATTCTCATGAGCTATAATGGCAGGTAACAAGACCTGGGTAATAGGCCTAGCAAACTGCTAATGAGAAAGGGCAAGAACCATCAAGAATATCTTAGAACAAAGACTGCTTTATGTCTACCAAGACTCTTGAGGGTTTTTTCCTAGGAAATTAAAGCATTAATCAGAAATAGTTAAGAATCACAGATAACATCAAGCCTAATCTGGTAGTTCCTTGGGTAAGGAAAAGAAAGCTCAAGAGAGTTAAGTGACACAGTAAAGGGACACATTTAGGCTGGAACACAACACCTACCCTGTCTTTTCCATTTGCCACCACAAAATAAATACCAGTCCACTTCTCACGGATAATATAGGTTGGATATCCCTTTTCTGAAATGCTCAGGATCGGAAGTGTTTCAGATTTCAGATTTTTTTCAGATTTGGGAATATCTACATGTGCATAATAAGGTATCATTGGGACAGGACCCAAGTCTGAACAGCAAATTCATTTATATTTCATATACAGTTAAACACATAGAGGAAAGTTTTACAATATTCATAATATCTTTGTTATTGAAACAAAGTTCCATGGTACGGAATTTTCCACTTGTGGTGCCATGCTGTTCCTCAAAAAATGTTAGATTTGGAGCATTTTGCATCTCAGTTTATTGGATTAGGTAAGCTCTACCTGTATAGTTGTGATATAATTGTGAGTCAATTTGATTTATGTGTGTGTGTGTGTGTGTGCATGTGTGACACCAAGTAACCTATGGGTGTTCTATCACTGAGCTATATCCACAGCCCCCCAGCCCACCCCACGCTTTGTGTGTGTGTGTGAGTGTGTGTGAGTGTGTGTGTGTGTGTGTGATAGGGTCAAACTAAGTTTTCTAGGCTGGCCTTGAATTTGTGATCTCCCTGCCTCATCCTCCCAAGTAGCTGGGATTACAGGCTTGCACCACTATACCTGGCCCCCAATTTATTTTTTTTAAGATTGTTGTTACTTTTTTAATACCTTTATTTTATTTATTTATTTTTATGTGGTGCTGAGGATCGAACCCAGTGCCTTGCACATGCTAGGTGAGTGCCCTACCGCTGAGCTACAGACCCAGCCCCCCAATTTAATTTTATTGAGTAAATGAAACTTCAAATTATACTCACCTCTGTTTCCCTAGCTCTTATTTATCCTGTTTTCTTTAATTCTTTGCTAATGAACCAATAGCTTTAGTGCTTTGTCTCCCATTCAGCTCAGCTTGCCCAATATTACTTCACTGTGGTTTCTGTGCTTTATAATTCTGTAAATTGTTTAAGATATTCTTAGAATTTGTAGAAAATTTGTTGAGTTCTATTCCAAGCACCATAAAAAATTAATATACATGTTTTACTCTTATAATTAAAGGAATAAAAAGTTATTATAAAGTAAATGGTGGTTTTAAGTCTGAGTTGTCTCTAAATGGAGACAGGAAAATAACAATCAGTGGATGTGTTTATGTGGCTCTATGTGCACATTGAGGAAACTCCTGAGCAGTAGATAGAAACCCTCATGTTATGTGGCTGGCCTGCTTCTTTATCACAAAAAGCCAACAAAAATAGCATAGATTAGCTTTTTTTAAGACCTAAAAGGCATCCAACTCCTTTCCCTCTATAAACCCTGATGAAGAATGAGGTAAACTGAATAATTGGTATAAATAATTCTCCATAGAAGAAGTACTTCCCACATCTCAATCTTCCAGGAGCACAGTCCCAAAGCTTGATTGAAATTGAGCTACTGGAAAATGTAAACAGGTGAGAATAGTTAAAAATTTTTGTTTTCAAGATACAACTTAACACAAAGTCTAGCGTTAGACATTTAGGAAATGAAATTTCAACATAAAACAACTCTATTTTAAAGGAAATTTAAAAATAGTTTATTATGAGCCAAATATGAATGACTATAGCACAGGAACACAGATTCAAATTATCTTAAATGGTGTCTTTTGTCATGGAGGAGGTTACATGATCTTTTATAGCCATAGAACAAAGGTCATAAATCAATACATTTACATAGGTAGGAGCATTAGGTAGAAGGGGAAAAAAAAAGAAAGGTGAAATTTTTTCTGTAAGCTTCAAGTGTTACAGCATTCTTAGCTTTAGTGTTGGTAGATGTTAGAATGTGGCTAAGCTTGCCATATATTTGGAGTTTTACCTCATGTCCTGAGGCTGTAAGGTCAAATACAGAGATTAAAAGTAAATGGCTATTAAAGGAACCAAGAAAGCCCAAGATAATTTTGGCCCTTGATCTGAAATATTGCATTTCTCCACAATCACAAAGTAATTGCTTGGCCAAGTTCAAATAGTTTGCAGGATCTTTAATACAGATGTGACTTCTTCAGAGAGCTTTGGCTCTACAGTTCCCCCTGTTGGCCAAGCACTGTGCTCTATGCATGCAGAGGCCAAATGCTTCATGTCTCACTGAGCTAGGAAGGTTCCTTACAAGGTTCGTTACTAGAATCTGTTGAGTATCTGGGCTGAGCGCAGTGGTGCACATCTATAAGTCCAGGATGGTAAGTTCAAGACTTGCCTGGGCAATTTATCAATTTATTATCTCAAAATAAAATAGAAGAGCTGGGGAATATAGCTCTGTAGTAGAGTGCCTTGGACTCAACCACCAGTACCACCAAAAAAAAAAAAAAAAATCCTGAGTTAAATTAATGTTATTAGATATCCTTATCAGGTCTGGGGTTTTCCTTTTGCTGTTCTTTGTACCTGACATATGTAATATGTAATGTGTAGGAGGAGGATTATTATACCTAAAGTTATAATAACCAAGAACATAGTATGGTCTAAAGTAGAGAAAGTAGCTGATGAGGGAACTAGGCATCCCAACCAATTAAAACATCCTCTGCATATATCATCATACTCTTTCATCAGACTGCCATTATGCTTTCCCCTGTATCTGCAGTCTTATCTGTGATTTACGAAATTTGATGTTGGGATTAGTTTAAATTGTTTGTTATCTTCCAATTCTAATTTTTCTTCCGGCCAGTTTGATTCCATGGCTATAACCTTGTATGGAAAGGCTAGTCCTAATTCTAAAAAATCTTGGTCTTCAACTCTTATTCATTGCTAATAATTAGATTTGTCCTATTACTGTGATACAACAGATTCTACTTTGGGAAAGTAAATGGTTAATGTCATTATAGAAGTCAGACAACACAGTATCACTTTAAATTCCTTCCCAACCAAATCATCCTTTCCCATGTACCAAATATTATTAGTAATAGGAGTAGAGACCAAAATCCAGGCTGGTGACAAATCAAGATTTCACAAATTTTTGTGGGCATCATCAAATCAGAGGCCTTAGTTTGCAGTCACAAAGGGAAACAGAACTCTAATCAATGTTGTTTTGCAAGTATCACTCATCTACTTCCCATTCGCATATTATAAACGCCATATTTTTTCTTGATTCCAAAGAATTCTGGGGCCAGGCAGCATCACAAAAGAAAATCATCTTTTCCTCTTCCTGGCTTCCTAGCTGAAAGAGAATGCAACCCAACAAGCTGCATGTAGGAAATGAAATAACATTTCCCTTACCTTAAAAATTTAGACATGCTGGTCATAAGTATGTATTTATTTCATTTATGCTACAGCTAGAACAGCCCTCAGGACACTCACATTGAAAGCCCAAGCAGACTAGGCTCTTTTTTTTTTTTCCTGTCATGGTGTATTGCCTGAGGATTCTAATTCAGCATGCAAGAAAACCAGTTTAGGAATACCAGATGTTCCTCAGAGAGGAAAATGTAAAGCCCAGTCTTCCTTAGTTAGAGTCCCCCACTTTTCCAAATATTTGCAAACTGAGATGACATAACTACGAAATGTAAAACCCACTGGAGTACCAAATAGTAGTTTCTCCCCAAACTCGTCTTCCTTCCTTGAATTTCTGCTCCCCATTTTAGCAAAGGTGTCTCTGGTCTCCCAAGTTGCAATTTTCTGTGATAGCTGATGGGATTTGTGTTTTGGGTTGGTTTCTGTGTATCTTTCCCTGTCTCAGTCTGAGGTCTGTTCCTCCTATTGTATATTGAGTTTATCCTGCACCCTTTATGGAAGGTGAGGGACTCCAGATACTGGATGATATAGGCTCTTTTGTGTGAACTCCTGGATGAGCTAATGAAGCTCCTTCTGACCCAGGAATGAGGGACGCTATTTTGGGACTTTCCCTATGAGGTCTTGCACATTCTTGGGAATTTCCTCTGATACCTTCAGGAGATAATTAGTTACCTAATTGTACCCTTTTAGGCTGCAAGGAAGGAATATCTCATTATCTTAAATGCCTTTAGGATCAGGTATTCATGGAATTTCTATACTAAAAGGTTGTGATAAAGAGGAGAAACACACAAAAAAAGCAAAAGGCAAATTTATAGAATGGAGGAAAAATGGGAGTAAAAGAGCAATTCTAGCAAAAAAAAAATTCTGGCAAATGATCTGAAACAATAGAATATGCAAATACCAATATTTAATAACCAAATACCAATATTTGTCAACCAAAGCAAAGGGAGGCCCAGATCCCAGGAACGACTTGACAATGTCCACCCAAGGAGAAGCCAAGGTCTGGGCATAAAGGGCCCAGGCCAGTACCGGGTACCAGCCAGGCAACTCCTCCAGAGAAACCAAATCAATTCTGGAGCCCATATTAAATACCAAAATTTGTGACATAAAATAGCAATTCTACTTTAAAGGAAACAGGAAAATTGCTTATTTTGAGGCAAATATGAGAGCCCATAGCCTGGGAACACATCATTGATTGAATCCATGTTCCTGTGGTCACTCATAATGGCTCAGAATAAACTAGTTTCTTATTATCATTAAATCAGAGTTATTATTTTATGTCAGCAGAAAGTAGAATGGGGACCTCTTTTGTCCCATGGGTTTTCAGCCCCTTAGTACCTTTGACCTACACCCTCTTCTCCTCTTTTCTTGCCCTCTCTCCCAACAAGTCTTCCAAACCCAGTATCTCTTCACACTAAAATATAAAAGATTAATAATTAAAAGTGATAATTGAAAACTGACCTAGGCATTTTTCACGTTTTCCCCAAATAGTACCGACTTATCTAATTTGCAAAGTACTCTTAAGTGAGACTCTTTAGAAATTTCAAGGCAGAGACCAAATATTCTCTCTTAAGCACCTATAAGAAGTTTCTTCTTGACCAGCATAATCATTTCTAGTCTTTTCCAGAGACTTATTCACAAGCACTTTTTTGGGTTTTCATTGTTGTGCTGTTGTTATTGTTGTTGTTGTTGTTTGGTACTAGGGATTGAGCCCACTATCACTAAGCCACACCCTCAGCCCTTTATTTTATTTTAAGACAGGGTCTCACCAAGTTGCAGAGGCTAGTATTGAACTTGCAGTCCTCCTGCCTCGGACTCCTCACTCACTGGAATTACAGACAAGCTCCACTACACCTGGCTCATACCACATTTTTGCTGCAGAAAAACTTTATAAAATGATATTATTTATTATTTTCATCTACAACTGATGGCAAAGTAATAAAACTCTGTTTGAAAGAGCTGTCTGTTCTCTAACGAACACATCACAAACCACTGTAACCCAAGGTCTCCTACACTGTAGAGGGGAGAAACCTATGAAATTAGAATTGGAAGACTTGACTTCTCATTCTAGCTGATACTATGTGGACAATTATGTGGCCTTTGTAGTTTGTCTGCCTTAGCTATTCTGTGTATCTCAGGAATTTGTTATGAAAGCTAACAATAGAACAAAGCATCTTATCACACACAAAGCTAAAGAAAACTAAAATCTCAAACTGGCTAAACCAGACCAATAAGTCAATTTGAGCACAATTTGCAGCACTAGATACTACTGGTCTATCTGTACATACATAACAACATCAAACAAGCTGGATTCTTCTCTAGACTGGAAAATTACTTTCTTTTCAGATCCAGAAAACTTACTTCAGAAATTTCTGCTCTTTAAGGCTTTGTTGACTTTGTAATTTTAACATAGAAACTTTAATAGTTTTTATTTCTATTTCTTGTTCTGATGGCTCTGTTCGGTATGCTTCAGGAGAAACAAAATTGATTTTGACACATACAAATAAAAAACCAAAATGTGGTACCTGATATTTTACAATTAAATATGACCCAATATTATATGAAAGTCTTAATGCAGATAAATGTACTGGAATATAATATGATTTACACAAAAATAAAGTAAAATCAGGATATATATCTAAAGAGAAAGATAATGGTTGGTATACATAGGAAACTTAGAGTCCAAAAATAACTTTTATATCCTAAAAGCTATGAACTATAAGGAAGTGTTCAATTTGTATTTATGACTGAAGAAATATTACTTGGACATAAAGTCTAATGCCTTGGAGACATGAGGGTTCACTAATACCTATTTGTTTTTATGTTCCAGGAACCATCTCTAGAAGCACCTGCTCTGCTGCATAGTATCCCACTCCTATGATTGGGGTCTAACCCAGGGCCTCACATGCCAGGTAAGCATCCTCCCACTGGGCCACATCTCCAATTCTGCATGCATATTTCTTAAAGTCTGTGGACCACTGACATCTTTGTGTGTCTTCTAGGGACCTTACAGTCCATTTCTTAATTTAAGTATCCAAATCATGTTTATTCTCTTTCTCAAAGTAAAATATATATATACTTTTCACTTCATTTGGGAACTAAATTAAATAAGAAAAATTTGTTCATGTCAAAAGAAGTCCAAATATTTAATCAGACAAAAAAATAAAAGCACCATAATTCTTTTTAAGGTTAATGACATGCAGTAACAAGTAGCTGCTTTGTTCCAACTTTTCATCTGCCTGTGCCTTAGAGTCCTCTCACCTAAAAGAAAGATGAATTACTATTGTGGAGTTAGTAATCTGAAGTTAACTCTTTTTCAGTTTTCTGTCATTTGTGAATTTCTGGGGAGGAGGAAGGAAGAAATAAGGAAGATGATGTGTATTTTGTAATGTGATTCTTTTACTTAAGTTTTTATTTCCTTTGACACATCCCAATTGGTTTTTTAATTAAAAATGAAAATTTAAATCTAAATTGTAACTTCAAACTTTTATTTTCAAATTAACTTGAGGTTTTGTTATATAATTTGAACTCACCTTAGCACTGTAAGAATAAAAACTGAATCTGTAAACTCTATTCCAGCAGGGGAAATCCCATTAGGCCAGAATTCTTATGCTCCATAAAACATTCCAACTGCAATTGCACCCTCCCACATATAAAGGAAAAATTTAGACTAAAACTTTAGAATCCAAACCAGTAAAATATAATAAGTAACTCAGTATGTTTTAGGCAGCTCCACTTTGTAGAAGTTTTATCTAAGTTATTATATAAGAACAGTAAATAATTTAGAGTTGTAATCTAAAATATCACTAAGTACTAAAATAGCTAAATATAATCTAAATATTTAATCTAAAATAAAATCATCCAAAATATTTAATCTCAAGTATCTAAAATAAAAATATCTCCAAGATGTTTCTTCCTATTTAATCCACTGTAATTCAGTACAAAACATGCTTTTGCCAACATTATGTTCAATTTTTTTCAATTTTTAGGACGTAAAATTGTTACCTTTTGGGTTCCTTAATGATTTTGTGATTCTAGGATTTGAACTTTTTAGGAAAGACTCAGAAAAATCTTGGAACAAAGTTGGAGCTAGGAAAAAAATATTGTCATCCAGAGAGTTCAGCACAGAAATCAGAAGCTGATGAGCTTTCAAATAATTTCTGCTCTTTTTATCTTGAGAGAGGTATATAAGGTCTCCATCTTAGCCAAGGCTGGAGACTAAGATCTGAAAAATAAGTGGAATTAGAAAAGGAAGAGGCTTTATAGCCTCTTTGTAGCCTTTTAGTGTCATAATCTGTATACACTGCACCTGGCCCCTGAAGTAGGTATAGAACCAAAGAATGGGGTTGGGTGTCACGGCAGACTAGATCTGGATTTTAGGATGATTAGAAAACACGTATATCGCTGTTATTTTTTTACTCACCTATGTCTCTGCTGACATTTAATAATTCAATATTTATGACTGTAAAACCAATGCCGTCAACAAAAATAATATCTATAATTATTCTCTTTAACCCACAGTATGATGACATAATCACCCTAGGGCAATTTGCTCTATGAGGCAGCTCTAGTGAAATCCTATGGCGAACAGTGTTATCACTATATCATCCAAATTAATGCGTAGCTGGCTAAATGCCATCGTTGGCTAACAGATGTTATTTTCCTCAAATAACCTTTGCTTGAATTGTTATCTGGCATTTTAATTCTAGTATATGAATATGTAGAAAATTGAATTATTCCCTTAACCAGACAAGAACACACTTTGTATATAGTCTATATTCTTAAATATTAGGAGTGAACTTAAATCTAAGATAGACCTAATATAGGAAAAAGCATGTTTTTAAAAAAACATTGAGTCACCTCAAGGCCAAAAGTAAAAATCATAAGCAATGCATATTTCAAATTTGTAGTCTTTCTTTGATATAAATATTAAGAGAGATAGTAACAAATTGATCTACATTTGAGGAGCAAATAAACATTAAAAAAAGAAAATGCCTGCTAACTGGGCTTCTGGCCAAGAATCCCAGGTTAAAGTACAAAGAAGTTGCAGTATTTGATCAACCCATGAAGTTTGTTATGATAAACCTTAGTGTGCTTTTTCACAGTGTATTTTTACCTTTGATTATTTAAGAACATTTAAACTAATTGTGCTTTTTGTCTTTTTATTGATCTGTAATCCATATCTCAAATATTTTAATTCTTTTTTCAGCACTGGAGATAGAACCTAGGGTCTCCTCATACATACAAAGTTTTGTCCTGCTGATGAACAACAGCCCCAGCCAGCCCCCTGAAGAACTGAAACTCTATTCTTCTCAACTTTGAACTGGCTACATAAACACCTTCAAAGGACTGTATGTTCCTCAGTCTCTGGACTACTGTGTGAACATATATAATTCTTATGTATTTTACCTGTATAAACAAAGAAATTCTTTGCCAGGAAATACCATTGTCAAACGCTGTGAGGCTTAAAATAGATAATACATATATAATGTCTAGCATAAAGGCACATAGTAGACAATAAATGTAAAATGTACAAAAGTGTGTGTGTGTGTGTGTGTGTGTGTGTCTTAAGTGTTGTGCTGTAATCTCAGATAGTTCTTTATTTTCTCAAAACATACCATGATTCCCTAAAATGGTAGAAATGATGATTATGACATTGATCTGAGTTTCAAATGAGAAACTTTCATTTATTTTTCACTGAGAAAATAGTTCCTTATTGGCACATCGGTGATTTGTCATTGTGTGAGCATCACAGAATGTACTTGCACAAACTAAAACTCCTTCCATGTCGTTAGGTGATATACTCTTCTGGTACCACTTTTGTACAAGCAGCCCATCATTGACTGAAACGTAGTTTTGCAGCACATGACTATGTAAATACTCGGAAAAGAAACTTCTCTTTTTGTCATTAAATCTACAGCCCACCTTTATCTGAAATCTTAACTTCTGATTTCTCTATTATTACAGAAAATGAATTTTCTAAGTATTTTTTTATAAGGCCAGCCCTCCACTGGTACAACAAACCCCTTCTCTTGCCTACTCAAGTTCTTTTTCCTAAAATGATCCCTTTTCTCTTTTACTGTATCATCAGTTTCACCTATGTACAGGATTATTCCCAAGAGCAGAAAATATTATTTCTTACCTCCTAGAAGTTCATTTCATTCTTTATCCATATCAAGATACCACTGTATTTTTTATGGGTTAAATTGTGTTCCCCGAGAAGATATGTTGAAGTTCTAATGTATAGTAACTCAGAATGGGACCTGGTTTGAAAATAGGATCATTGTAGATGGAATTAGTTAAGATGAAGTCATACTAGAGTAGGGTGGACCTTGATCCAATGTGACTGTTATCATAAAAAGAGAGCCAGGTGGAGACATACAAAGACACACAGGGAGAACCATGTGACAATAAATACAGAAATTGGAATAATGCAGCTTCGCACTAAGGAATGCCAAAAAATGCCAGCAAACCACTAGAAGCTAAGAAGAGACAAGCCAGAGTTCAGAGGAAGTGTGATCTTCCCAGAGCTTGATTCCAGGCTTCTAGCCTCCAAAACTGTGGGTTAGACAGAAATTTTCTGTATCCTCATCTACCCAGTTTATGGCACTTTGTTATACCAACCCTAGGAAACCAATAGACCATCAGTTTTCCACTCCATACAAGATGATTTCCATTAATAGAAGATACATTACCTCTTATCTCTTGAAAGTCCCCTTAACCTGACATCTCTCTTAAGCTAATACGCTGTTTCTTTGCTTCATTCTCCTTTGCTTCCATTTAAGAGTCATTTCTTTTTCTCCAGTACTAGGAATCAATCTCAGGGACTCTACACACTGAATGACAACCCTAGCCTTTCAATTTTTATTTTGAGACAGAGTCTTGCCAAGTTCCCTGGGCTGGCCTCAAACTTATGATCCTTCTGCTTCAGCCTCCTGAGGAGGCTGGGATCACAGGAGAACCACTATGCCCAGTCTTGAGAGTAGATTTCTTGAAAGAGTTGTTTACAATTGCTCTTATCATTTTCCCTTCCCCTTCTCTAATGCTTCTCACTTTACTCAAGGTCCCCACCGACTCTCCTCAGAAAAAGCTATTTTTGTCAAAGTAATTAACTGTATTTTATTTTCTCCATAACAAAAATATTATATATTGGGGTTGAGGCTGTGGCTCAGTGGTAGAGCACTTGCCTAGCATGAGGCACTGGGCTTGATCCCCAGCACCACATAAAAATAAAAACAAATAAAGGTATTGTGTCCATCTACAACTAAAAAATAATAATTTAATATTATATGTGTATTTTTAATGTAGCTTTTGCCTTTCTTCCTTGCTAGAAGCTAAGTTCAAAAAAAAAAAAAAGAGGAAAATGGTGATTTTTCCATCAAACTCCAGGCCTAGCACTCATAGGGCCTCACTGAAAATGGATGAAATGCATTTGGTTTTAGATTTTTAACTGTTAGTAGTACATAAAATTCCATTTGTATTTAAGCATTCTTTGTTTATGTGTGTTGAAAGTCTTTCAAGGATTTCGGTATAATTTTTCAGGAATTTAAAAGCTGCTAATATTTTCATGCTTGGTAATCATACATTATCTCTAATATTTTATCCTAAGTAAACCATGATGTCTTTAAATTTTGTTATGTTATACCTTCCATAGCTACTAGCAGATATTTATCTTCATATTCATCCTATATATTGGGGAAAGGAGGTATTTAACGTGTATCTTACAGTTGTCACATCTAAGTGAATAAATGCAAAGTGGGATAAAAGCTTTTGACTATTCTATCACCTTAATTTCCACTGAAATCCTCTATCACTAATGCACCTTATAATTTCATTAACATTCAAGATAAGTATCTTAAGATTATTATATTAAATGAGAAAAAGCATCTTCCTGGATATTAATGTGATTTTAAAATACAAAATGGGAAATTAAAGATGTTACATAAATAAATGCAATAATTGAAGATGTTTGTTCAGTTTGCGCTCTGAAGGGCAGCAGAAATTGAATACAATAAACTGAGTAAAAAGAGAATATTAAGGAGTACTGTTAAATGTATTCATAAAATCTATGCTCTATAATATGAATGGGATTACAATCATATTAACCTATGATGTGATAGTTCACAGTAGTGAACCATCTGTATGCACATAAGCTTGTCTTTTCCACCTGCTCATTGCTTTCTTTATCAGTAGTAAACGGTAGCTTACTAGCAAGATAAGACAGCATATTATAGACGCTGAAACTTTGCTAACTCCAGGTATCAGAGACAATTTGTTCCACTGTCTAGCAAGGCTTCCATAGAAGAACTCTACATACTTTCTATTTTTTTAGAAATGCAGTAATATAATAGCAGCACTGTGGTTCAGTATACAATTACATTTTGTTTTGTTTCCACTAACTCATCTTTGAAAAAAATCTTAATTTTATGAACAAAACAGATTTAAAAAGTGTCAATGACAAAGTTATATTGGATTTCACAACATAAAAGTTATTCATTATTCATTTATTTTTGAGACAGGTTCTCCCTCTGTTGCCCAGACTGGTCCTGAACTCTTGGGTTCCTCTTACCTCAGCCTCCCAAGTAGCTGAAATTACATACACCACCATGGCCAGCTAGAAATTATTTTAAATATATTTCTTCATGCTTTCTTTTAATGAAATTATATTTCAACCCTTAGCTTCATTCACTATGACTTCTCTCTGCCCCCAAACTCCGCCCTCACCATTGCCCCTCCTCACATTCCAATCATGTTTTCCCATCATTTCCTCCTTCAACCTAATCAAACAGATGAGGTGTCTCTACACCTGAGGCAAATTCTGTATCTCAGCTCTAGATCTTTCCTCTTCCTGCACCTCCAGTAATGTTCTCCTCTCCCTCCTGCACCCTTAACCCTTTTCTCACCCATCAGTGGCTTCTCCCCAACAGCACCCAACCCACACACCTCTCCACACTGCTCGGGAGCCGCTGTCCTAGTTTCTGCCTCTCAGCCAAAGTGTCTACCTTCTTTTCAAAGATCAATCTCCGGGTTGTCTCCTCTACTAGGTCTCTTGGCAGAATTTGACCCTGGCTGACCATTTGTCCTTGCTGGGGATTGAACTAAGGGCCTCACAAGTGCAAGACAAGTGCTCTACCTGAGCTACTTCCCACCCCACCCCCAACTCCATTCCTCTTGAAACAGCCCTGACCTTGTCTTTACAAAGCTACATTTTCCTAGTTCTACTTTTTTTTTTTTTTTACATTTCTGATCAGTTAAATAATAGTCCTATTAAAGGTTTGAGTCACTTCAAGCTCTGTTTTTCATCCTTTTTCCCCGATTGTACACAGGCTTCTTGACCACCCTGATCTAATTCCTTCATGTCAATTATTACCTATTTGGGCTCTGTTATATCCCTGACCCTCAAATTCATATGCTGAAGTTCTTACCCTGAGTCCTCAGAATGTGATTGCATTTGGAGATATAGCCTTTAAGATGTAATTAAGGTAAAATTAGATTTTTTGAGTAGGCACTAATACAATATGACTTGTGTCCTTATAAGAGGAGGGGATTGGTACACAGACACAGAGGAAAGACCATGCAAAGACACAAGAAGATGACCCTTTCAGGAGAAGCAGAAAGACCTGATCCGAAATCATCTTGTTTATAGCCTCCAGAATTGTTAGACAAGAAATTTCTGTTGCTTAAGACACCCAGCCAGTGATACTATTAAAGTAGTCCTAGCAAACGAATACACTAGCTATGATTATGCCATAGCTCCTTAACTCATTCCTGTTATGTCAGCTCTGAATGCCAGATTTTACTACGTACTGGACCTCACCAACTGGATACCTCAAAAACATTCCAAGATTTCAACATATGCTGGCTCATCCTATGACCTGAGCCAGAAACCTGATCATTTTAGTGGATCCTACATGTGCCCACTCCAGTTTCACTTTAAGAAGGTCTCAAATTTTCTGTCCCGGGGTTTCTCCAAGGTTTCTTCAAGAACTTGCTTAGCCATTCCCCAGTTTAAAGGAGCTGATGTGCCTGGAGGGAATCCTAAACCAAAGAGAAACAAGAACAGGGAATAAAGGCCCAGTCTGACAGTTCTAAAGAGCTTTTAACATGGCTTCTCAGGGGATCCCCACCAAAGATCCTGCCCTAGTACTTTGTGGCAATAAATGTTTTGTAATACACCCTTTATGAACTTTCTCACTTCCCTGACTCACTCTCCCCATTACCTCACTCTTACTTCCTGAGATCATCTTCTACAGCCCAGTTCTTGGCTGACTCACTCTTTTAAGGGGAACCTACACGAATCCTGTCAATGGTGTTCTTTTATCTTTCTTCTCTATTTTCACTGGCCATCCATTATCAGATACTGGTAGTTCTACTGTGGCTTTCAAATTGGTCTACTCTCTTCAAGTGTTCTGTCTTCATCACAGATTTGGCCACAGTCAGCTCTTACCTGGATCATCTACTATCTTCAAGCCCAGTCTCCCTGCCTTTCGAACTACCCCTTACCAATTTGTTCTCCACAGAGAAATCAATGTGTTCTTTCTAAATGGACTGTCTGATCTTACTTACTCACTCATAAAAACCTTCAATTATTCCCCATTATCTTTTGTATAATGGCCTTGGGATTATTTTCAAGATCTTTCCTAGATAAAACCTAATCTTACCACCTGAGTCTCCATGGCTTATCTTTGCCACTTCTTATTTGCAATACTAGGTCATGTTGAGTTACTTTCAGGTCCCTGACCCACTATGCAGCCTCTCAACCCAGGGCCTTTTCACATGTTGCTGCCTTTTCTTGAAATGCTCCTCTGCTCTCTCATCACCACTTCTTCTCTTTCTAGTTTAAATGTCACTGCCTCTTGAAAACCTTCTCCAATGTTAACTTTTGATTAGGTGTTCCTCTTATATCTTCTTAATACATATTATGCTGGATTTTACTTATTTGTTTTTATGTGTGTGTGTGTGTGTGATCCACTTGATAAATATTAAGGTTTTTCCTCCTATTATATTTACAAAACTTCAGATATCTTAAATAGATATAAGTATATATTATTGCACACAATTATATACACATATACATATCTATACATATACATACATAGTATTTCATATATCTTAGATATATATTTCATATGAGTATTCCATAAATATTGGTATGATAATAAATTAATGAGTAAAAGAAAAATTATTAAATAATGCTACTAAATATGTTTAACAATAAAAAAACTGGCAAGCAAGTTTTCAGATCATACAGAAAGAGTTAAAGCAAAACAGAAGAAACTTTAATAAATAGAAACTCTATAAAAATCTAGGACAAAAATGTCATCTTTGGAAATGAATCTTTGCTACTATTACCACCATCACCATGGATACACACCTACTCAGATTTTTAAAAATTTGTTACTTAGAGTGTAATCTTTCAAGTTTATAATACAAAACAGACATTTTCAAATAGGAAAAATTAAGTCAGCTCCATAAATTAATGAATACTTTAAATGACTTTTTAGTGAGATTGCTTTAATTTGTGACCTTACCCCTGGAACAATTGGGCATAAACAGGATTAGCACCAAAAAAGCTGAGAAGTAAAATCTGTTTTACGACTGTGACTTGGTGACTTCTCACTCTGACAATGCCTTTTATCCTCTGCCTATTTCCACGCCAGGTCCTCACTCTAAAATCTGAAGACTCCTTTTGAATCCAGAGGTGTTTTAGCACCAAGTTACATTCCCAACCCTTTTTATTTGTTATTGTGAGACAGGGTCTCCCTAAGTTGAGTAGGGCCTTGTTAAGCTGCTGAGGCTAATCTTAAACTTGTCATCCTCCTGCCTCAGCCTTTTGAGTAGCTGGGATTATAGGCATGCACCACCATGCTGGTCGAAGGTTTTTGAGTCTTCCTGCTACCCTGACCTTCACTAAATCTGAAATTCTCACTAAAATTTCCTGGTGAGTTTCCCTTCCCACCTATCATCTACCTAAACAGCATTTTTTTTTTCTTTATCACTACCACTCCTCACCTTTCTACTTTGAGAGATATAAACAAATGCCAGCACTTGAATGGATTTATGGGAACTTCAGTTCTGCTAAAATCAAGAGGTTGGTTTCCTAGGACATTTACAGGAAATACACGGAGGGCAAGCTGTTTTCTGTGAATGATTCTCATAAGATTGCCAGGAAATTATGTTTTAGCTGGGATCCTACCAATAGGGCATTGCTGCCACCAACTTGGAGTTGTTTTCAATCTAAGCCAGATAGTATTTCTTGGCTCACGAGCATACTGAACTCACATAGCATCCTAGCAACAGTGTGCCATTACTGAAAAACACTGTTTGCCACTGTATAATCCATTTTTTGTTACTATAATAACATACTTGAGGCTGGGTACTTTATAAAGAAAATAAGTTTATCTGACTTATTTAGTAACTCTTGCAGGGATTACTTGGAGTCCCGCAAGAACTACATCACCCTTCCAGGAGAAGTGCCTCAAATGACCTAATTACTTCCCAGAATTGGAGTCCTTAGATGTTTTACCTCCTCTCACATTGACACCCTGAAGTCCAAGCTTCCAATACATAGCCCTTGGTAGAAATACTCCACTATATTCAAACCACAGCACATGCCTTGTAAGGATAGGTTGGTAGAGATATGTCATCACATACTGTATGAGAAAGCCAATATAGTAATCAGTCACTTAAATGTGTGTCTAAGAGTACATAGTTATTTGGATCCTCTAGTTAGCAGGCAATAACTTTCATCATAAGCAAGTTTTGGTTTGATTCTAAAAAGTAGCTAATGAAATTATACAAATTTCATAAATATAATAAAATTCTTTTACTTAACAACCATTTTTGGAGTGTCTGCCAGATTCCCTTATGTATACTAAGGGATTATTAATAAACAAAACATACTAAAATCTTTGCCTTCCTGGAGTTCATAGTAGGAGTAGAACAAAATAACATGCACAACTCATTTTCAAAACAGTTACACAATGATTCACTCTGTGGTTATTAAAAATATTTAAATATGTGGAAATAGGTACGTATAATGTTAAATGGGGAAAAACTAGGATAAAAAACTATATATAGAGTATGATACTGAAGTTTGTAAAAAAAAAAAATAGAAGCACATAGACATAGTTATTATAGTTTCCAGGGATAGATATGAATTTGGGGAAAAAAGAGTACAGATATATACTAATAGTTCCTGATGTTATCTTTGGAATAAGATTGCCAATAATATTTATTTTGTGTCTTGTATTTCCTAAGCTTTTTAAAATTTCATAATGGATACACTACTAGTAGCTGTTATAGTTTGGATATGAGGTGTCTCCTAAAAGCTCATGGTGAGACAATGCAAGAAGGTTTAGAGGAGACATGATTGGGTTAGGAGAGCCTTAACCCAATCAGTGATTCAATTCCCTGATGGTATTAACTGGTGGAGACTAAAGCAGGTAGAGTGTGGGTGGAGGAGGTAAGTCACTGGTGACGTGCCTTTGGGGTATATATTTTGTGTTTGGCAAGTGGAGTCTCTCTCTCTTTGCTTTCTGATCATCATGTGAGCCACTTCCCTCTGCCACACTCTTCCACCATGATGTTCAGCCTCAGCTTGAGCCCTGAGGAATGAAGTCGGCCTCCTATGGACTAAGACCTCTGAAACCATGTGCTCCTGAATAACCTTTTCCTCCTCTAAAATTGTTTTTGTCAGGTCTTTTAAGTCACAGCAGTGAAAAAGCTGACTAAAACAGTAGCAGACAGATGCTATATTATGTATTCTTAAATGTAAAAAAAAAAAAAAATAGGCTAAGATTCAGCTTTATTTATAATTGCCAAACCAAGATGTCCTTCCATAGATGAATGGAAAAACAAACTGTGATATGGCCATACCATGGTATATTATTCAGGGATTAAAATCAGTGAGTTATCAAGTCACTAGCAGGCATGGAAGAACCTTAGATACACATCCACAAATGCAAGATTCGAGTCTGAAAATGCTATGCACTATCTGATTCTAACTGCTCTATGACATTATAGGAGAGGCAAAACCCTGACACCAGAAAAAATTGGGAGACCAAGGGGGCCAAAGGGCCAAGGGGAGGGCAGGAGGGAGGGAGGAACAAAGCAGATTTTAGAACAGTGAGATTACTCCATGTGACATTGTAGTGGGTGGTATCTGTCATTATACTATCAAGACCCTAAGAACAACAGAGTGAACCCTAATTTAAACCATCCACTTTAGTTCTTAATAATGTATCAATATTGACTCATCAATTGAAGCAATTGTGTCACACTGCAAATTTTAATAATAGGGGAAAGTTTGGGCAAGTTGTATAAGTAAATTTATGGAAATTCTCTCTACTTTCCACCCATTTTTGGGGGGTGGTCCAACCTAAAACTTCTTTAAAATAAAATGTATTAATTTTTACATGCAGTTTTTTAACAAATAGACTAAGATGAGTTCTATTGTTTTGACCTTCTAGTGATATGAGTCAAAATGCTGTACAAAACAATGGTTCCCACTTCAGAAATATGGACATTTCCCATAAAGAATTGAAGACAGAAGACAAACTTTTCTACTTGTTCTTGACTAAGTGAGCACAGTAAGCAAACACATATGCACTTACAAGTATACACATACACACACACAAATACCCTCTCACTACAATATTCCAGAGACAGAACTTAGTTTTTCTTCAATAAAGAAAATTCCTTTAAATATGATAAACTTGAGGCTGGGGATGTGGCTCAAGCGGTAGCGCGCTCGCCTGGCATGCGTGCGGCCTGGGTTCGATCCTCAGCACCACATACAAACAAAGATGTTGTGTCCACCGAAAACTTAAAAAAATATATTTAAAAAATTATCTCTCTCTCTGTCTCTCTCTCTCTCTCAAAAAATTAATTAATTAAATAAGTAAATATGATAAACTTGGCCTTCTAAAACACTCTTTCCATCTTGTGAGTTTTCTCATTTCACATGCCCTTAGGATCTGACACCTGTAACCACACAAGCTGAGAATCCCTAATACATTGTGGCCCAGAATTTTCCCCATCAAAGTCCAGGACAGAGGAGGCTCTGCTGTACTAGCCAACCTGTCTGTCTAGTCACATGTTTTATATTATTCGTTGTCATTCATCATGATCATGAGGTCATATGAAATGCACCAATGCTAACTTAGTGCAGACAGTGAGTTAGTTTTCCAAGTGCATTTGACAGGTTTATTTGCTAAAAAGTTTCCTACCTGTTCCCATGAGGTGAAACTAGGAGTGTATGTTCACAGAACAGATGAGACCTTCAGGATATGGTTCACTGCAGAATCAATGAAGGGATGAGGGAGTGCTGCCAGAGAAGATAGCTATTATTACTCACCCAAAATCCCAATACGTACTCACCACTCTTCCATGAGAAGAGACTCAGAACTTCCAGATCTGGCACTGTGGTCTACTGCTTCCTCTCCCAGGCCCACAGTAGCGTCAGGTTTGGATTAAATAGTATTCATCTCTACCTCTGAGAGGAAACAGAAAATGAGGGACATTTGTATTGAGGGCCAGGGTTCAGACCCATCTGGTGGTTGTAGGTTATTTTACAAGATTACCAGAAAGAGCAGGTGTCCTTGGCACTCAACATTGAGGGATTCCTGATTCTTCCATCCACAGCGTAGAGCAAGCGGAGACTTCTGGGATAAAGTAAGATTTGAAAGTGAGTCAGGGAAGGACAGGTCCTTATGCTTCCTCTCAAACTCTTGCCAGTGATTAGAAGTTCATACAGACTTTGAGCAGTGCCTTGGGCTTCTCCTCAAACTTTGAGCAGCTGTTATTCTGAGAAGAAAGCATCATGGCCACATCCTGTTATCTGGCTCCTTCTCTAAATTGAGGAAGAGAAAAATGGGTGAACTATCTGGTTAATTCCGGTCCCACTGAATTTACTCCTCATTAACAGGAAAGTTTTCAGTATAAATTTTGAAGATCTAGTTGAAAATATTTAAGTGAAATACTTCTATTTACTGAATAAGAGAAAACTGACCTTTCTTCGAAGGGTATGGTCTTTCAAGAGAAAGGTAATTCATAAAACTGATAATATATATGCATGTGTGAGTATGTAACAATAAACCCCACCATTATGTACAAATATAATGTACCAATAAAAAATATGGGAAAAAAACTGATAACAGAGATCAGAGCTAGGTCCAATTCAATGTACCCATTGTGCTCTATTTAAGTTATTCACTTCAGTCACTGACTGCTTTTGGTGCTAAATTGACACCTCAGAGCTGAAAATGAAATTGCTGCATTCTGCATACCAACAAAATGGCCTGGTGAAAAATAACCCTGCAGGGCTGTTCCGGAAGCCTCTCAGTCCAGACAATCAGAGAGATGCAAACCACAGGACAACACAACAAAAGTGAGGTTGTGGATGAGAACAATCTGGGACCATCACAACAAACCAGCAAGTGTCCTTCTCCACATGCAAAGACAGGCATGTGCCCTCACCACCCTTACCAAAATGATTCCTCTCCCTACCCCAGTCTGTAGAGCCACTTGGAGAAGACTAAATTCTCAGCTCTCCTGTTCAATACCATTCACACCTTTGGAACTGGTCTTCCTAATTTTCCATACATTGGTTTACTTCAACAGGCTACTCAAATTGAGTCTTGGCATAAAAAGACAAAGGACTTAGAACAAAGAGTTTGCCAATCTGAGAACCAGAGTCACTTTCATCATGGCCCATTGATGCCTCTCACTTAAGAGTCGAGTGCTATCTTCTCCATCCTTTCCCACTCCTGGCAATTCCAATCCACTCCCTTTCTGTCCTGCATTTCCCAGATGCGCTAGTCAGTACCTTCTCCACAGTCAAGAAATGTTGCAGCATAGTCCAGCTTGCCCACCAGGTTTGACCTTCCCCCCTGGTGTCTTTCTTTCTCCGTCAGAGCATGGACTGCTGAGGTCTTATCTTGGCAGTAAATACTAATTTTGTTTTCAACTTATTGAGCATCCCCTAGGTAATATGGTAAAAGGCATATTTCTCCTTCACACATCTTCCCTGTGGCCCCTGGCAGGCACTCGTTTTATTCTGCCACATTTTTTCCCACTGTCCTCTATAACACAAGTTGCTTTCCAAAAATATAATAAATCACTCACTCTAAAGTAAAAGGTTGCCAAGTTTATCTTCTTCCCAAGTCATTTGCTTTAGCAGAGCACAGAAATTTCAATTTCCAAGGCAATATCAGTAAAGGGTCTTGGAGAAGAATAACTTTTTAATGTCCTTTAAATTATACCTCTAAGGCATTGTACTCAAGTTGTGGGTAGCAACTCACTTAATAGGTCATAAAATCACTTTGGTTAATTAACATTGATTTAGTTTTTAATAAAATAAAATTGAAAGAAACAAATATATCAAGGTAGACCACTTAAAATAAAACTAAACATTCTTTCTTCAAATTTTCATTTGTTTTCCCTTTAACCACATAGGTATATATATTAATATATAAGATAAATAAATGCATTTCTTTTTTACTGGTTCTTTTGAGTTATGCATTACAATAGAATTCATTTTGACATAACTTTACAAGCATGAAATATACTTTATCCTACTTACAACCCCATTCCTATCAATGTACATGGTGGTAGGATTCATTATAGTGTATTCATGTAAGTACATAGGAAAATTATTTCAGACTCATTTTACTCTTTCCTTTTCCTATCCCTACTCCCTTCCATTCATTCCCCTTTGTCTCATCTACTGAATATCTATTCATCTACTCACCACCCCCTTATTGTAGGTTAGCTTCCACATTATCAGCAAAAACATTTGACTTTGGCTTTTTGGGACTGGCTTATTTTGCTTAACAGGATAATCTTCAGGTCCATCCATTTAATTGCAAATGTCATAAAGTCATACTTTACAGTTGAACAATACTCCATTGTGTATATATATACCACAGTTTATTTATTCATTCATCTATTGAAGGGCACCTAAGTTGACTCCTATAGCTTAGCTATTGTGAATTGAACTGCTATAAACATTGATGTGGCTGCATTACTGTAGTAGGCTGATTTTAAGTCCTTTGGGTATATGCTGAGGAATGGTATAACTGGGTCAAATGTTGGTTCCATTCCAAGTTTTCTGAGGAATCTCCATACAGCTTTCCATAGTGGTTGCACCAATTTACAGTCCCACCAGCAATATATGAGTATACCTTTTCCCCTACATCCTTGCCAACATTTATTGTTACGTGTATTCTTGATAATTGCCATTCTGATTGGAGTTAGGTAAAATCTCAGTGTAATTTTAATTTGCATTTATATAATTGCTAGAGATGTTGAACATTTTTTCATATATTTGTTGACCAATAAATGCATTTCTTATAATGATGATCATCAAAAAGTTTGAGAGTTACCTGCCCATGGCCCCTAGATCAAGTTGCTAAATGCTTTTGATTTCTCTTATGTAATTTTCCTAATATCTAGCCCTACATTTCCATTCTCAGCTCAGGTTAGAATCTTCATTTTCATTATAAAGTTCTGCAATAATCAGAGTCCACATAATTGTAGCATTTACAGTATTTATAGTGTGCTTTCCACTATTTCCTTAACTCTCAAACCTTTGCAAGAGAAATCCTGACTTCCTCAGCCTGGCTCTCCACCATCTGGCCCATCTGTCTACTTTGTCACCCTCAGCTCCTACAGTGACCAGTTAGCCTCCAGGCCCTCTTCCATTTTCTGTGTCAGACTGTGATCACATCCTCCCCTTCCCATCCTTCTATCTGAAAGAGCCTCTTGGACCCCATGACCTTGGTATCCCAGCAGAGGTCTGAATCCAGGCCCAGTGCACTTTCTACACCTCTGTGCCATATCCCACCCCAGGAAACACATCTATTAACCATCTGCCTTCCTCTTTCTTGAGAATCCCTAAATCTTATTATTTTTAAACCTTCTATGGATCATAATTGTTGGTGTCCTCATATACTCTTATTTTATTTTCCATATTTTTTATAATGCCCATTCAAGGAGATTGTAAGCTCTTTACAAGGAAATACTTGTTCAGTTTCTCATGCCACCCTCAGTACTAACAATAAAGATCCTCAATAAACTGTTTCAATTATGGATTTTCCCCGGGATTACCCAGGATGCTAAAATCACTCAGATCTAATAATTGAAAAATAGGCCAGTAATTTGAAGAAATGCCAATCTATTTTTTATTTTTCATCCAATTGTATTTTCTATATTTATGAAATAAATTAATTCTTTTTATATTTTTAATTTTTAATTGACATCCTATTCCATGTGATGGTGATTGACACCAAAAGTTTGGTCCTTGTCCCTATACAGATCCAATAACAGGGACAAAGTTTTCAGAAAAAGGAAAAAGAACTGGGCCCATGGCACATGCCTATAATCCCAGAGACTCCAGAGGCTGAGGCAAGGCTCTAAGCAACTTAGGGAAACCCTGAATCAAAATTTTTAAAAAATTTTTTAAAGAGGGATGGATAGGGATGTAGCTCAGTGGATGGACACCTCTGGGTTCAATGCCTGGTACCAAAAAAAAAAAAAAAAAAGGTTTTATGGCTTTGCTAGTAAAGGAGAATGGTGATGGACTCACATCACAGAGGCTGCCATTTTAACTGCTGGGGCAACAGAGGGCTTTAAAAAAGGGGGATAAAAAGGTTGTTTTCAAGGTATCATTATCAGTAGATCTAATTAATGGTTAACTTATATCTGAAAGAGCTGTTGTTTCAGTTTCCAGGTCTGCAGTTTTTCTTTACTCTTGTGGACAGTGAGCAGAAGGGCAGATAACTTGGCTTAGGACTGGAAGAATGTTAATCTTGCTTCTCCCATGGTTGGGGAGGGGACCAGGGAGAAGAGGAAAGAAGGAAAAAAAGCATGTCAGTTTCCAAATACACCATGAGTGTTTGAGCCAGCAAGGTTTGTATTCAAAGCATAAAGTTACACAATCACTCTGATCTTATAGTTGAAAGATTGGCCAATAATAGAAAGAAAATCCATTCCATTTATTTTTTTATTTTTGATCAAATTCCATTTTCTTTTTTTAAAAATTTGTTTTAATTAGTTACACATGACAGTACAATGATCTTGACATATCATACATTTGAATCAGATGGGGTATAATTTCTCATTTTTCTGTCAAATTCCATTTTCTAACTTAAAAGTTAATTAATAGTTATTGTTTTATATTTTTTAATCGACACATAATAATTGTACCTATTTACAGGGTTCAGGGTGACATTTTAATACATATATATATAATATGTGATCAGATCAGAGGAATTGATAAATCCATGACCTCAAACATTTATCATTTTTTTGTTTGGGGAACATTCAAACTCTTCTCTACTTGCTATTTTGAGATATACAACTAATTGTTGTCAACCATGGTTATTTTACTATGTTTTAGAATACTAGAAGTTATTTCTCCTATCCAACTGCACTTAGGTTTTATTTTTTTTCCATACCTTTATTGAGGTAAAATTGAAGTACAATAAAATGTACATATTTGAAGTATTCAATTTGATCATTTTTAACATGTATGTAACCAATACAATCAATATAAAAAGCATTTCCATTACTTTTTTAAAAAAATTGAAATCAGGAAGATTGTTTCCTGCATGATTTATTTCATTAGAAATCAATCACCTTAACATATATAGAACCGCAGCCCTACATGTCAACTATTTCAAAATTAAATATCACACTTATATATATCTCAGAGGTCAAGGAAGAAAGCACAAGAAAAGTAAATAAAAATGCACTTAGGTTTTATGATATGTGAATTATATCTCAATTAAAAATATGAAGAGAAAACCAAAGCACTTTTCATGATATTAAGTAAGAAAACATTTAAATCAA